AATAAAGTGTTCTGCAAAAGTAAAATGCGTGCTGCTTGGACTCATCTGGCTCGTGGTCTTTGTTCTCTCTCAGCACTTACATCCATGCCCAGGGTACGGCCCGAATCCAGATGTGGCATTTCAACAGCCCTGGACTGGCGTTTCCCAGGGCTTCCTTACTTTCCCAGTGGAGCAGTCAGTCAGAGAGGGAAAAACAACAGGAAGAGGGGACGGGGCAGATCATGCTGTGCCATGAGAGAGCGCTCACAGCAAGGTGGCAGCAACAACCAAGAGCCTGGCTCTCCAGAAGCCCTTGTGCAAGGCCTTTCCTTTGGCCTAGGGAAAAAAAAAAGCATTCCCCTTCTGGAAAAGTTGCCTTCCAAAGACACCATTCTTCAAAGGTCCTGCAGCTCTTGTGCCTTGGCGCTGAAACAGCTGCAGCGATTCCCCCACCAGTGCAGGAATGAGCATGTACAGTTTACACACACACTCCTGATGTGCCCTGGAGCCCCAGACATCCACTGCATGGCTTCAGCAACAGGGGAGCCTCATTCCCATTGCAACAGGTCAAAGCATGGATCACAACACTATTCTTCCTTTTCTTACAACTAAGATTTATTTGAAAGACACATATTAGAGAGAAGAGTTAAGTTTTGCTGATCAGGCACTTCTGCATTTCCCCTGATGCAAATGGTGTTGAAAAATGCTTTTGAGCCACAAGGAAGGAGCATCAGATGCTTCCTGAAGACAAATGACAGAGCAGAAAAGGCTATGTGATTGGAGCAAGAGAAGAACAGCGTTTCATCTGAGAGTTAAGGTATGACCAGCAGATTTCAAAGTGCCAGAGCCGTATCTTGGCAAGAATGTGGAGGTTCTTAAGGCATTTTGGTCTCACTTTCAGTGGTCACGAAAGTTTTTCAGAGAAACAGACTGGGAAGCAGAGAGAGAGCTAGAAAAGCAGTCAGCTTTTCAGTACTGCTGGGTTAGCAGACTGGCAAAAAAAAACCTAACCAAAAACAAAAAAACCACCAGAAACCATCCTTAGTATACAGGGAAGTCATAGATCTCCCAGGGCATAACCTTGTGCACAGAAAATTCTAGGCTATGCCCAGACACTGATGATTGCATGAGCTCTAACAGCATAGACACAAGATGTACATGTGCAGCTTTTGACTGTGTAGATATATTAAGGGTAAATTACCAAGGGAAAAGTCCCAAGGAATTTCTAAGAAAATCACTTCACACTAAGGAGGACCAGACTGGCAACAGATTTTCTCTGAGGTGGTACAACATTGCCTGTCTGCAGTGAGGAAACTCAGAGCAGCAGCTGAAGACAAGCATTACTCTCCACAGGTTTTCATTGGCTTCTGACATCCAGAAGTTAAATTGTGAATGCATTTATACAAGCTCAACAGCAAATATGACCTAAAGCAATTTTACTTCACATAGAAATACAAAGCCAGATCTATCATGCATATAGACAGTGCTCATCTACCCAGCATATGCCTCTGCACTGCAAACATGGCACATGGCCACGGAACATTTCCATCAGCACAAATGCCAGTATTGGCTGCCAGCTCGAACCACCCTGTATCAGGAGACTGATAACCATATCTCTGTATCCAGATAAGGGTAAGGGCAGGGTTATCCAAAAGGTACTGTTCCACTTCACTGACCTCTACAGTTCTCCCCAGGACAGCCTTCCACACTGACCTGCCTAATCTCAGTAGCAAGGGCAGGCAGAACAAAACATATCCAAAGCATTGCACTGGGTACCCCAGAGTTAACATGGACAGCATGGCTGAGGCCTTCCTGGAATGCAGCACTTGTTAGAGAGCTGGCTGGCAGTCACTGTTAGAAACACCTCACGGTGGGTGGGTGCAAGACTGTGCCAGTGCCATCCCGCACCCTGGCAAAGCACCAAAGTCAATCATCCACCGTATCTCATCTCACTCCTCCATACTGCACGTCTGCAGCCTAATGAGCTTCTAAGGCAGGTCCGTGGTTTCAGAACAAGTACGTGACACGGACAACTTTGTGGGCATTTTCAGGGCTCCCATTGCAGCAAGTCTTGGCAACCGCCTTGAAAACCACCTCGAACCACCTTCATGTCATCTTACTATGAACAAAGCTTCGACTCACAGCAGGGGAAGTGGCACAGGCAAGAGAGAAGTCAGCCCAAGAAGCCCCTGGATCCTGACCAGCCTCCTGCCAACAGCAGTGAGCTCCTGAGCCCTCCGCTGCTGTAGGTCCAAGCTCTACTCAGTCTCACCTCTCCGACCCCCAGCCAAGGAGACCAAACCCTTGTAAAGCACCCAGGTTTGGCAGCACCTGCTGCCTCTGGGCAGACACAATGGCAGCGCAAGGTTGAGCAGACATCTGCTCTGCATAATCGCTGATATCGATGCAAAGTCTGTTGTGGTAGAGAGAATTTCTAAGAAAGGTAATCTAATCTTGCCCAATAATGCCCAATAATGTTTGGGCATCTTTGTTGACACAAGACTTGAAAGAAGTGAGAGCAGCATATAGAAGTGAGAAAAGTCTGCAGCAGATCAGTTCTGGTCAAAGATGGCCAAGCTCGTTTTGCTTACCAGTGAGTCCTGCTTCAAAACTTCTTCTCTGCCTTTATGACAAGTGCCAGGGCTCTCTCACTTTTACACCAGGTGATAGAAGAGAGATGCTATGGCATTCAAGATGTTGCACACTCCTTTCAAAGGAAAAAAAATGTAACAGTAGCTTTCAGGATGGATTGTTAGATTTTTCAGTACCGCTGAGAAGATACTGTATGCATTTACAATCAATATGGTTCATTGTTATTTGAAATTGGCATTTTCTTTTTGAACAAAGCAAAGGAAAAAACCACAAAATCTCAAAATTCTCTATGTGTGCTATCCAGCTTCTTTTCTATGCTTCTACATGAAATTGTTCCACAAATTGTACCCATTTCCAAATGAACACTCAGCAGACCTGTGCTGAGCAATCCATGTTCCTGCATATTACTCAAGGAAACAAAACGATCACAAACAAATTCAATTTCATATTTTAGTGGCACATGACCTCTTTACCACAGTTTCCCCTTTCCTCAGTGAGTTACATTGGGTTCAGCCCAGTTGTGCCTTGCATTTCTCAGTTCAAGGACTAATCCTACATTTTTTTCTTCAAAGGTCTGGCCCTCCTGCTGAATGCCCAGATAGGTATGTGCTCTACCAAACGTTTTTCAGCATCTGTACCTGGAATGGACTCACTGGCTAACTCTTTTACAAGACAGGGAGGACTCAAAGGCTGCTTAGCACTCAGCAGTTGTGTCTCTGCAGACAGCGCTTTAATGAAGCATGGAGTGCATGAAGTGTAAATATGCTGCTTGCCTTCACACAAGTTTCCCCTTAGTCCCTTGCTGCTCAGCTTTAATGAAGTCTGAGTGCAGCCATTCTGTGGCTATGCAGAAAGGCTATGCTTGACTTTCACAGACAGGTGAAGAAAGCAGTACAGCAGACACAAAAACAACCTTCCTCATTCTGAGTGCCTCACTGGAGATCCATTCTGCCTCTGTTCTTCCTCACCTGGCAGCAAGGGAGAAAGACTGAATTTAGGGAAGAGACTCAGCAGCCATAACATCCCTGATTCATACTGATCAATCAGTATGCAAGAGGCTCCTAGGTAGACTTGTTTATGGAAACAAAGAAAGAAGGAAAGAAATGAATTATGATTTTGCTGAGACGGCTCACAACCAACCAGTCCCATTTCCCTTTCTCTGAACTCTTATCTGCAAGAAAGTATTGCCCAGTCATTTCAGATCAGATTTCACATAGGTCGCAAGCCAGTGCTGGATGACTGAGTGGTACGAAGGGTGGTAATAAGAAATAACACGGCCTCATGTTACATGGACAGCATGCACGTCCGACAGCATTTGGAACACGTTCTCTCTGTATTCTTCCCTCACTATCCCATTTCTATTTCCCTGCAGGCACTGCCTATGTGCTGTCATGCTATTTCACCAACTGGGCTCAATACAGACCGGGCCTGGGAAGTTTCATGCCTGATAACATCGACCCATGCCTGTGCAGTCACTTGCTGTACGCCTTCGCTGGGATGTCCAACAATGAGATCACAACCATTGAATGGAATGATGAGACCCTCTACAAATCCTTCAATGGACTGAAAAATCAGTGCGTACTGACAGCATCAGGCATCACTTAATCCTGGTTCAGGACCTGGCCATTACACAGCAGCCATTCCCTGCATGGGCACTGGGGTGCTGAGGAGAATTGGAGACAGTGATGGCAGATAAGGCTGGCCAGGCTGCCAGCATTGATCCTCTGGGGATGAGGAACATCAGTCACATCAGTAACTGTGCTCCCGACTTACTGCCTGGGTGTCACTTCACAACATCACAGCCTACAAATGCAGCTGCAGCAGCCACTTTGCAGAAAAGCAGGAGCACTGTGCTTCGTGTTGGTCTTTGGTCTGAAGTTGGAAACAGCAATACTAAACCATTCTTTGCAGTGAAACGTGTTCATGTCCCTCCCTTTGCAGGAATGGAAATCTCAAGACCCTCCTGGCAATTGGAGGATGGAATTTTGGGACAGCCAAGTAAGTTCAAACCATTTCTTTCCCTGCAATAGAGGAACTATAACAAGAGGCACCAAGCAAGCCCCAATTCTGCCCTTCTCTGCTTCCCTAGGTTCTCCACAATGGTTTCCACTCCTGAGAACCGCCAGACCTTCATCAACTCCGTCATCAAATTCCTGCGCCAGTACCAATTTGATGGGCTGGACATTGACTGGGAATACCCTGGATCAAGGGGCAGCTCTTCTCAGGACAAAGCTCTCTTCACCGTCCTGGTTCAGGTAGGACACAACAGAAGGCTTTGATCAGGCCCCCCGATCTGCACAGCTCTGACCACAGCCCCACTGGGGTTCACGCTGAGCCGTTTGTGGTCATCCTGCAGGAAATGCTGGCTGCCTTTGAGCAAGAAGCCAAGCAGGTGAACAAGCCCCGTCTCATGATCACGGCTGCTGT